TAAACCTAACCTAATTAACTGATTTGTATTATATTTCTAGCATACATTTCCAAAGTAGAAAATGTAGTTCATGCAATTAATTCGAAAAATGAAAAGGGTAAGGATATTTATGATAATTATCATTGACTTCATTTAATTATTTCAGTAGATAAATGCATTTTTGGATCTCAGGAATTCAAAATTAACGACACCATGGACTTGATTTATAAGAAAAATGACCAACAGAAAGTTGCGCAATGTTCTTGCATTCTGCCACCTTTATTGACCTGTAGAACAGATTTTTAATAATTCGAAATAAATAATTATATTCAGAAAGTATCTTCATTATTTTGCTCTTAATACAAAGTTATATGCATTTTGTTATTACACAATTGTAATGAAATGGAATATTCCTTGTAACTCCCTCCAATTCCATCTCAGAGATCAAGTGCTAATTAAATAAGTTGTAAAAACAATGAGATTATCTCTGAATCAAACGATTCCACACAAAATACTATTGTTCGCAAGATTTTTTTTCCTTCATGCAATTAAATATAAAAATGCTTTACAAATAAGTATAAATATGTTCAGTATTCGGACAACCAGTCAGTGTTATCCGAGCTATCCAATATGAATCTTCGTCTCACCAAACTCGTTCTTTTTTGCGCCGCAATCACCATAATTCACGGTAAACCAATCCATAATAATTTGATGTTTTTAATATCTTATTTTCTAATTAAATAAATAAATATCATATAAATTTGTTAAAGCTAATTAGAAGTCAAATTTATTTTTTAGCTCAAGAAATCTGTGATCATTTGGGAACTTTGCCTTACGAAGAAATTGGTTGTACACCGACTTTGGGACCTGATGGTTGTCCAAAATCGTTTGATTGCTCTCATTACGAAGTACCAAGCGATGGTTGCATCTTCAAAGGACAAACTTATCAAAACCGCGAGTACATAAATGATACCGCTCCTTGCAATGTAGCCTGTTATTGCAACAGGGAAAATTCTTTTGGGTATAACTTTATAATTTGATAAATTAACAGAAAAAATGTAATCAATATATTTTAGTCCAGATATTGCTTGTGCTGCTATTGATTGTAACTGGAATGTTTACGATGATTGTTACCAAGTTAATGATTTGGATCTTTGTTGTCCCACCGGTCAAAAATGTCGTGAGTAAATTGTAACAAAACGTGTAATTAAAATTTAATTATTTGACTTTTTAAAGCACCTTTTGATGATTTGGCTACTTGCCAAGTCGATGGTAAAATTTACAAGGAAGGACAATATTTCCGTCCAGAAGGACAATGCCTAAGATGCGTTTGCCAGAAAGGATTTATTGGGGAATTCGTTGAGCCATTCTGTCGCCGTGTCCAATGTGACGTGGAATTGCGTTTCGCCAAGCAAATTGCTGAAGGTTGTGCTCCTGCTTACACCAGAACTGCTGATGCCCTTTGCTGCCCAATTGACTACATTTGTCGTATGTAATCTTACTTTATTATTACACCCAATTCTATTGATTCTAAATTTATTTTAGCATCAAACACGTTGAGTATCTCTGCCCTTGAAGATTCTACCGTTTCCCAAGAGAAATGCATTTACGGCCAACTCGAATTCAACATCAACGACGTCTTAAACTTGACATACAACAAATATAATCAACAGAAAGTAGCAGAATGTTCCTGTATTTTACCACCGCATTTGACATGCAGATCAGATTTTTAATTATTGTTCCTCAAATATTGAATTGAATAAATAATATGAATCAGAACTATGATTATATTTATCCAAAAATTACCATCAATAAATATTTGTAAAATAATAATTTCATATGTTTTAATCTAATTCCACTCTAAAGTAGAGTAAATGTACACAATTGTAATGAAATGGAATATTTCCTGTAACTCCTATCAAATTGTATCTCCGAGATCAAGTGCTAAATAAATAAGATGTAAAATAATGTCTCTGCATCAAAGGATTCCACAGAAAATACTATTGTTAGAATTATTATTTTTTCCTTCATGTAATTAAAAATAAATATGCTTTACGAATGAGTATAAATATGCTCAGTATTCGGGCAACGAATCAGTGTTTTCCGAGCTATCCAACATGAATATTCGCATCACCAATCTCCTGCTTTTTTGCGTCGCAATCGCTGTGATTCAAGGTGACATTTCGACAATATATTGATGTTTTTAATCACATTATCTAAATACATAAATATCATATAAATAAATTTATTTTGAAAATTTGTTAAATTTAAATTGAAGTCAATTTTATTTTTTAGCTCAAGAAATCTGTGATCATTTGGGAACTTTGCCTTACGAAGAAATTGGTTGTACTCCGACTTTGGGACCAAATGGTTGTCCAAAATCGTTTGACTGTTCTCATTACGAAGTGCCTAGCGATGGTTGTATCTTTAAAGGACAAACTTACCAAAATCGCGAGTCAATAAACGGTACTAATCCTTGTAATGTAGGCTGTTTTTGCAACGCTGAAGAATCTTTTGAGTATTACTTTATAATTAGTTAAAATAATAGTAAATTTAATCAATATATTTTAGACCCACAATTATTTGCGCTGCGATTGGTTGCCACTGGAATGTTTACAACGATTGTTATCGAGTTCATGATTTGGATCTTTGTTGCCCCACCGATCAAATCTGCCGTAAGTTAATGGCAACAAAACGTTTAACATTTAATAATTAGACTTCTTAAAGCACCTTTTGATGATTTGGGTACTTGCCAAGTCGATGGTAAAACCTACAAGGAAGGAGAATATTTCCAACCAGAAGGACAATGCTTAAATTGCGTTTGCCAGAAGGGATTTATTGGCGAATTCGTTGAGCCCTTCTGTCGCCGTGTTAATTGTGACTTGGAATTGCGTTTCGCTAAGCAGATTGCTGAAGGTTGTGCTCCTGCTTACACTAGAACTGCTGATGCCCTTTGCTGTCCAATTGACTATATTTGTCGTACGTAATCTTACTTTACTTTTACACCCAATTCCGTTGATTCTAAATATCTTTTAGCGTCAAACACGTTGAGTATCTCTGCCGTTGAAGATTCTACCGTTTCCGAAGACAAATGTATTTACGGCCAACTCGAATTCAACATCAACGACGTTTTAAACTTAACTTATAACAGATATAATCAACAGAAAGTAGCAGAATGTTCCTGTATTTTACCACCGCATTTGACATGCAGATCAGATTTTTAGTCGTTGATTCTCAAGTATTAAATAAAATAAATACTGTGATTCAGAATTTTTTTAAATATTTTTTTTATTAATTGCATTAATGCAAAATTCATCTCATCTCATCTCATTTTTCATCCAATTGCATTGTAAAGAAGAGTAAATAAAATGAAATACAATGGAAATGCAATACAATTGTCTCTACCATAAAACACTATTGTTTTAAAGTTTTTTTCCTTTTCTGTAAATAAGATTGTGTGCTTTTCGAATAAGTATAAATATACTCAGTATTCGGACGACGCGTCAGTGTTTTCCGTGCTATCCAACATGATTCTTCGCATAACCAATTTCGTTTTTTGCATTATAATCGCCGTGATTCAAGGTAAAACGTACAATTATTAACTTTTTTTTGTAGTTATTAAATATGAATTTCGTTTTGTTTATAATGATTTGTATGGATCTTTTTTTTAGGTTACGAGATTTGTGATCATTTGGGAATTTTACCGTATGAAGAAATTGGTTGTACTCCGACTTTGGGACCAACTGGTTGTCCAAAATCTTTTGACTGCTCTCATTACACCGTACCAAATGATGCTTGTATCTTCAAGGGACAAATTTATCAAGATAATGAAAACGTAAATGGTACAGCTCCTTGTAATCCAGCTTGCATTTGCAGCATTGATGAAACATTTGGGTATTTATTGTTATAATTAATTTAATAACATATAGATTTTAACTAAAATTATCTAGACCAAGTATTAATTGTGCAGTCTACGATTGCAACTGGAATGTATTCGAGAATTGTTACCAAACTTATGATTTGGATTCCTGTTGTCCTTCTGGTCAAAAGTGTCGTAA